TGCACTTATACTTTAAGACAACCTTAAACATGTTTTATACAATTTTATTGGTTTATTTGTTTCTGATTTCACTTTCTCATTTACTGTTTCTCGCGTATCACGAGCAAATCATCTATCGGCTACATGACTGACAGGATTATCTGGTCCCCTTAATTAACATGAGACGCTCCAGTACTCAACTATCTCGGGATATCGGGAGGCATGGAACGAAAACGGGATTTTTATTTTTTCAAAATTTATCTTTTCTCTTTAACAGAATTCTTCTCAAAAAGGAAACTAGAACATCCAAAGATACTGCAAAGGTTCAAACAACTTCTGCCTTTTTTGACTCATAACTTAAACTGACTCTAAGCATGTTTATACGTTTTTTACTTGTTACCTTTTACAATGTAAATTTCTCATAATTCTCTCGTGATGAACGAGAGCCTCCTTAAACAATATGACTCTCATTATAAACGAAAGCATCCATAGGTTTCATGGAAAAAAGGGATTATCCACTTTCTTATAATAGTTTCTACAAAGATAACATTTAATAAGCCAAGAAATTTGTATCGTCTAAATTGAACCTCGCTTTGAACCATTATGTTATAAAATTTTGATTCATTTTACATGATAAATTTCTTCTTACCTTACAATTTTTTCATGATTCAATCCAGAAAATAAATTCTCTTCTCGAGTAATTTTGCGATTAAACAGCACACTTTTCGGATTCAAAGGAATTCTTTTGACCGCGTAAAGAAATGCTTCCAATTTATTACGTACCTAAGCGTATATAAAGCACTTCAAATTCAAGATGCAAGATCATTAGCGCCTTACGCTTAAGAGGGTATCAGGAAGCATGGACGGAAAACGGGGTTTTTTGCTATTGCTATAAATTTTGTACGAAAACAAGGTGAGAGAAGTCACCATCATGCACAAAATGCTTTGTGATACGTAGATGAACACTTGTCTTTACTAATTAGCAGATCTGTATATACTATATATTACAGATAAACTTCAAAAATACTTATCTTGTATCTAGCAATCCGGTGTGAGCTTGTCTTAAATTATTTGGTAAGAAAGTTTCTGTATTCCTAGAGTTGTTCCATCCATCACCACCTTTTGGAGAATCCTTCCGCAAAATTCACAAAAAAAACCACATTATCAAAATCAATATTAAGCAACGTTAATAAGAGAAAATTCCTAAATTAATAAAACAAGCGAGCACTGTCTTAATGGAATATTCACGTTTTAAAGCTTAAAACGAAATGATGCTTACCATATCATGGTAATGATAGCGAGACAAAACTTGGCGTACGTTATTTCATTTGGAAAATTAAAATTACCCGAAGACACTTGCCTTTGTACATATGAAACATAATATTTGTACATAGGTAAACTGAACAAAAAAAAGAACATTCAATAGAGACAGGGCAAGAAATTAAATAATGGAAAAACGTAGCTGCTAATGCTTCGGCAAATTTTCATTAAAACCTACCTCGACGTTATGAAAAGCCGAATGTAATCTTTTAGAACGGCATGAGATATTGCATATGATCCAAATCATACAATCCTGTCTTCAATGCCATCATAATGCTTTTTCGTAGCACAAGAAGAGCAAGGTCTACAATACACTAAATAATCTATTTAAGTCAAATAATTATGAAGTGAACCGTAACCTATAACAAATCAGAACTTACCCTTCACATCATAGATTGAATAAAAGTACGCCACTGAACACAAGTCTACGTACAACCATAAATCTTATATAGAACGTCTATTCCACTCTGAACTACAAGAACTACCACTTAAGAGTGAATTACCACTGAATTACCACTTCAAGATGGCGCCAAAATTTTAGGACCATTTTTTTTCATAAGACCAGCAAAATCGCTTGCATCATTTTCATTGCCTAAAATGATTAAATTGTAATATTTCCAAAATGCTAGAGAGTGCTCAATACTATACGGATGAAGGACATAGTAAATGTAAAGCTAACACGATATTCACCATTGCAGACAATCTTGAATACCTGTTTCAAATAAAGAAACCTTTTCTTTGCTAAATGTAGCCATTCAAAATAGTCTCTCATCTCTGGTGCAATTCCAAAGGAAAACTTAAAAAGTGTCAATGGCGAATCCATTTCATCCTCTTCAACGATTTGCATGGCTTTTGCAAGGGTTGTCACATGAATGCAATGATATGACGAACAGCCGCAACATTTTAACTCGGACAGGGGCGGCGTTAGTTTTGAATACACAAAAGTATAAACCCCCCATTGACTATTCACTGGTTTTATTGCAATCCATTGCACTTCCCTGCACACTGCACTAAACAAGTCCTACAATATGCAAAATCATTTATTTTATGATTGCACTTTGCGTTAAATCACCAAAACTGCTATTGCTAAATGTGCAGCTTCAATACTAAATTTTCTATCATACACAACTAGATATTTTTCCATTGCTAATATGTGTATGCAACAGGGATATGGTATATCTGACAAGTACAAAAATGTTGTTTGGCCTGTTTTGATCATTTCATTTCCATTAAGCCTGTTCTCCACGAGCCACGTATCGTAACGTATTGTAGCCAAACGTAAAATGGCGCATGCGTGCTTGTGTATATTGACCACCAAATTCATAAGCACGCATGCGCCATGTTACGTTTTGCTAAGATACGTTGCTAAGATACGTGGCTGGTGGAAAGTAGGCTTAATATCTATTCTACATACCTTTCTGAGGATCTAATAGTAAATTGTTAGGTAAGGCTTCAACAAATTTCTTTCTACTTGCATCACATGAGCAGCATAATATCCAACTGTAGCCATCAAGCAATAGGTGGGGTTATCATTGAACAAATACAAATGAATTATGCTGAAGAAAAAATACATGCAGATTATAGTGCCAAAATTCGTGTATGGATTTGAATTTAACATTTTTCAAATTTCGTATGGTGTAACATCTAGTTTTATTTCAAATTCATATGATGAATTTAAAAATACGTTGAAGTTGACACGTTCAATGATTATATGAAGATGAATTTACTTCGTTCAATATTGTTCTTTACATCAATAACAAAAGAATGTTGAACAAAGAAGATCATGAATATTGGCGAAAATCTGTGACGTCACGGAAATTTACTACAGCGCAGGCGAAACTCTTCAAGGTGGTTTTAGACATGCCAAACTTTGATGCCCAAATCTGGAGTTTCTGATCATGATCTTAAAAGGTTAATAAGGGATTGTTTGTGTTGCAACTTATGCGTTTGGCAAGCGGCGCATATTTCAAAGAATTTGGGGCATGGAAGCCGGACAGTCGACATTTTGGAATCAATATTTGATGGAAAAAGCCCACCACTTAACCTTCTATCTTCCGTCTTCTATCTTTTAATGACCGACTTAAGACATTTCACTCCCCCCTCCTTTTATCTACCCCTTGGTAAAACTATAAGAGAGACTTTGTCGTGAACAAGAGTCTCTAACGTCAAAAAGTCTAGTGTTTTTTCACTAATTCAATACCAACATAGATATTTCAATAGAAGAAAAAACGAGCTGATTTCGAAACTGCGTGTGAATTGTCAAAATTCTTATAATTAAAATCTTCATTATCTAATCTCAATAAACAAATCTTAATTTTCTTTCCGTTTGTTCACGTTTAAGGTGATATACAAATACAAACTTCTTTCTCTCTACTAAACACCTGAGACGAATAAACGCCTTTCCTTGAACCGTTACAATTTTTAACAGGCCACAGTATCTTATACGGTAATCACTGATCTGTACCTTGCTTTAAAAAATGAACACAACGATGTTTGGTCTAAAGAAATACTCTTGTTATTACAATATACACGTATATAAACTATATACAATTCTCATTGTTCGTGTATGATATATTATCGATATAATGCATGTCAGCCAAGTTTCAAAAAAAACAACGTCAGTTTGCTTTACACATCCTCCGTACTTCGTTGTAGCATTTTGTCTTGCATAAATGGGGCAAACAAGTAAATAATTGTTTCCAAACTTTTACTGACGCAAGAAGTCCATCGAAACGATTGGCTGACTTGTATTTTTATGTCCCTAACGTTTATACTTAAGAAAAAGTTCAAAAAATCGATTTGTGCTAACTACTGGTTACAATAAAAGCCTAAATATTTCCCTACGATGGAACTTCATATAAAAAGGCTTGCAAGATACAATGTTTATTTCGTACGAACCTCATGTATGAAGACCTTTTCAACTATACGTGTTATGTATAACATTAATAGAAATAATCAAAGTTGGATTTCTTATAGCTAAATCTATTCCTTTAAACCTTTCTGTCAAATGAAGTAAAAATATCAATTCTCTGCATTTTTCGAGATGTTTTAAAAAGTTAATAATTACTAGAAGATGACGTTGTTTTCAGTGAAAAACGACGATGTTTTGGTGAACATTTTCGAGTTGTTCATAGACTTCATTGAAAAAGTTTATGGAAATTTGTGAGCCTTCAGTTGTTTCTAAAGAGATAGCAATAAAATTGTTACTAATTGAACGTTTGATCAAATACAGAATCAATAAGAATAAAATGAATGATTTGTTATCAGAAAGCGGATAGTGCTTTGGATTTCTGGTGTAATGTCATGGGAAGACCGAATCAGTCTTCACTAAAACATCACTGTTCCACCAGATATTTTTCAATGTTGCGCAATATCAGACACCAAGCCACTGTAATGATAATTCTAAAGAGAAATGTCAACAAATACGACTCTTGATAAAAACTTAACTATAATGTCATTTTCATAAGGAGTCCCTGTTGATCCAGTTTTGTGCCATTTGTGATCCATCGGGTCGCTTGATAGCCAGATTTTCATTTAGCATTTTCACTTTGTCTTTGAAAGAGGTTTCTGGATTTGGGGATTTCCCACGTCGTTGGACAAACTTCTAGGTTTAGGTACTGGCTGAATGTTGTTATTCTGCAGGCGAGCAGGACCTGGGTAAGTCGCATACCCATTATCACTCATTCTATCCCGGGCGCGGACTACATGACCATTGTCTCTGTAGACTGTCGAGTTAGGAGCGCCTTTATATTCCGCTGGAGGGCCACTGCCATTGTTGACCAAAATTGAGGCTTGGGTGGAGGTGGGGGTCTCTGGTAGTAGTCAACCTGATTTTGAGGTAGGGGCGAGAAATTGTTGTCTTTATCCGCGGGAGGTGGAGGCAAAGGAAATTCTTCACTACCGTCATCATCACTATCTTCAACCTTTCCATCGTGAACAAATTTCACTCCAGATGTTGCGAGCTCAGCGTCAGGCGATGGTTGGACGATTTCGGTGCGAACACTGGCGAACTTCACACGACGGGTTCGTCCGTTGGTGTACGACGAATCAAGACCATCATCGTCAGGACCTTCAATAATACGATTTCGCAGCTGATTGGCTCTTGCTTCTCGGAGACGGTCGTCTTCTTCTCGTTGTCTCCGAAGTTCTTCCTCTTTCTCCCAGTCTGCTTGATTCACATGTACAGGCTCGGCAACAGTGCTCACACTTTGTCTAAAAGATTCGTTTTGCTGAAAATCACGAACAAGTTGCTCATCTGCTTCACGACGCCATTGTTGTTCCCTGCGGTTTTTCTCCTCTTCTGATCGTTGCCAGTCTACGCGGGCGCGCGGTTTATCGTCAACCGGCTTTTCCCAGTTTTCTTGTTGAACAGGTACCCGAATGACTCGTACCATTCCTCCATCGACGCTGTCCGTTCCATTCTTACTGTTTGCTTCTTTTGCCAAACGTTCTTGAAATTGCCTTTCAATTTCCGCAGGATCAATATCCAATGAATCATCCTGGCTATTTTGGGGTGAGAAACGCTTCTGATTGGATGGAAACGATCGCTTTGACGACGACGACGTGCTCTTGCTATCTTTCATTCTTCCACATTGAGATCATTCACACACAAATATCCAAGTCTCATGGAGCCCGTGAATGAAAAATTCGAATCTACACTTACGCAATTAAAAATTTTGCCACACAATTTTAAACATAATCCCAAGGTTTGTAAGCGTTATTCACACGATATAAAACTTAATCCTGTCATTAAGGATTATAAATTCAAGATAAAGACATACGTATACTGTAAACAAACCTCTAAAGGAGGACCCTCGGTTACTAAAAATTCAAGGAGAAAGAAAATGGTCATGACCAAACATAAAATCATCTTTTGAAAAACAAATCAACATCATGGAGCAAATTTACCTTCAACAGCCTCAAAATGAACTATCCAGTATCCGGATGCCTTTGGTTGGAATGTAAGTTTGCATAAACCTTTAGAAGGGACAATGAGGAGCAATGAAGAACATTACGAGATTTAGAAAAAACTACGTATAACATGGGCAAAAGACTAGGGTTAACATCAGTATTATGATGAATATGTGGGCGGAAGGACTCCTCCACGACGAGCTCAACGGCCATCATGTCCTCGTGCCTCCGAGGTAGGTTTTTGAGCCAGAGGCTAGGACAAGGACATTCTGATGTAAAACCTACGACCCGTGGATCTCGCTGTCACCGTCCCAGCTCGCTGGGCCATGACAGATGAACCCGGGTGTAAAGGGTGGGGCCAGTACTGCGCACACTGCACTTCACCTTAAAACTCATCTGCGCAGGCTCGAAGGATACGTTCACGTATGCGACGCTTTCAACTCTACTAAGTCCTGTAGCGATGGGAAAGGGGCGAACCGGCAGGTGAAAAATGTCACTGGAAGTCGCAGTCTCAATCCTGCATGCAGGCGGTTCGGGATATTGGTCGCTTGACGTTGACCCGAGATGACAACATCACTCGGAGGCACCCCGAACGACCAAGCAGCCCTTTAGGGACAGCACTGCTTGCTCCACAAGGAGAGGGGCCTAGAAAAGGTGGCCTAACCAAAGCTCGTCTCTCTTCCCCCCAGTTGGCTTGCCGTGGTCAACGGGCATCTTTTCTAGCGGTCAAACAACAACAAAGAAAGGAACGTACGCACTCACCGGTATGGGTGCAAAAGCACTGAAGCTGGCATGTTGGAACATCAGAACCATGCTTGACAAAGCTGACAGCAACAGACCTGAACGTCGCTCTGCTTTGATTGCACATGAACTTTCCAGGCTAGATGTCGACATTGCTGGCCTCAGCGAAATTCGCTTCCCCGAAGAAGGCAGCCTTCAGGAGCATGGCGCAGAATATACTCTCTTCTTGTTAGGAAAACCTGCAACAGAAAGGCGTCTCACAGGCGTCGGCTTCATGGTTAGAACCTCCATTGCTTCCAAGTTTGAAAACCTGCCAACTGGCTATTCTGACCGCATCATGTCCATGCGCCTCCCTCTGAAGAACAAAATGTATGCCACGCTCTTCAGTGTGTATGTCCCAACTCTTCAAGCTGTGCCTGCAGAAAAAGACAAGTTCTACTCAGAGCTCCGCAGAGTTCTTTGAAATACCTCCGTAGACGATAAGGTGATAATCCTTGGCGACTTCAACGCCAGAGTGTGACAAGACGCTGTTGCCTGGAAAGGAGTGCTTGGCAGACATGGCGTTGGTATCTGCAACGAAAACGGAGGCTTGCTGCTGGAGACTTGCATGGAGCAGCAACGTGCCGTCACCAACACCATCTTCCAACAAAAGGGCAGTCTGAAAACAACCTGGATGCATCCTCGGTCCAAACACTGGCACCTTATTGACTACGTTCTAGTGCGCCAACGAGACCTCCAAGACGTCTTACACACCAGAGTGATGCCCAGCGCAGAATGTCACACTGACCATCGCCTCGTGCGCTGCAAACTCAAACTTCACTTCAAACCTAAAACAAGAAAGGGAGGGTACCCAAAGAAAATGTTCAAGCTCAGTAGGCTACAATCAGTTGTAGTGAGAGTTGAATTCCATTCGTGCTTGCAGTTCAAGCTTGAAAACAACGGCTGCCCAGAAGATCCCTCACCTGATTCGCTTTGGCTTCATTTGACAGAGCCATATTGTAGACATCAGAAGAAGTCTTGGGGCTCACCACTAAAAAGAACAAAGACTGGTTTGACGAACACAACAAGGAGATCCTGGAATTGCTTGCTAAGAAGAGATCAGCCCACCAGGCTCACCTGGCTCAGCCGTCCTGTCCCGTGAGGAAAGCTGCAAAGCGTTGCACTTGCAGCAACCTCCAGCGCAAGCTTCGAGAGATTAAGAACGAGTGGTGGATCAACCTCGCAGAACGAACTCAGCAATGCGCAGACGCTGGTGACTACAGAGTCTTCTACGAAGCCCTTAAGGCAGTGTACGGCCCTACGCACCACGCCCAGAGTCCTTTGCGCAGTGCGGATGGCGAGGCGCTCCTGTTACATGATAATACATAATCATGTAAATTATACTTATTATTGTTATATATTTAAATATATTATTAGTTAACTAATTAGTAAAATGCCTTACTCATACATGCATGTGTATGTTAACCACAATAACAGGAAAGCTTACGTATAGGACGTGGTCAACCTACTGACCACAAACAACTTACAGGATACATGGTTAATCAACTGACCACAGTTTACGCACAAGCGGTTACTCGTACGTCATTGTGCAATCATATATAAGCCGAAAACCGAACGTTGTAGTTATGTTGGTGCTTAGTATAAGTCCACATGAGAAGAAAGCTCATGTAAAAGAAGACGAACTATTTAAGAAAAGAATCGAAGAATACAGATATATATCCTATCCATCAACGAAAGAGTCACTGAAAGTCTGAAAGCAGTTGTCTAGATAAGTTTGAACATTTACACATTTATGTTATAACGATTATATCAAAATTATTAGTATATTAAATAAATATTTTAAGAATTGACAACAACTTCTCCACAAGGTTTTACTCCTTTTGTTACGAGCAATTGAACCAAAAGCGGCCATTTTATTATTAGTCGGGACGTTCGTAACACTCCTCACAGACAGGGCGTCTATTCTGAGTCGCTGGTCCGAGCACTTCCACGCCCTCTTCAGTGCTGATCGAGTCGTTCAGGACTCAGCAATCCTCCGCATCTCTCAGCTCCCAGTTATAGTGGAATTGGACGAACCACCCTCTATGAAGGAACTCACAGAAGCCATAGAGAAGATTATGAGTGGCAAGGCAGCAGCAGTTGATGGCATCCCACCAGAGATCTGGAAATATGGAGGCCCAGCGTTACACAGAAAGCTCCTCGAACTCCTTGTCTGTTGTTGGGAACAACGAAAGCTTCCAAGAGACCTCCGTAATGCAGTCATCGTTACCTTGTACAAAAACAAGGAGGAAAAGTCAGTCTGCTCCAACTACCGGGGGATCACTCTGCTTTCGGGAACAGAACAAAGGACTCTACACCTGTCGAAGGCCTTCGACACAGTGAGCAGGAAGGGACTTTGGCTCATGATGGAACGCTTCGGATGCCCCCCAAAGTTCCTCAGTATTATCACCGAGCTGCATGAAGACCAAAGCGGCCAAGTCAGGTTGAACAGCACCCTTTCAGAACCCTTCCCTATCGTCAACGGCGTGAAACAGGGTTGTGTCTTGGCTCCGACTCTGTTCAGCATCTTCTTCAGCATGACGCTTAGGCAAGCCACAGAAGACCTTGACGATGACGAAGCTGTCTACATTCGCTATCGCCTTGACGGCAGCCTGTTCAACCTCAGGAGGCTGCAAGCCCTTACAAAGACCCATGAGCAGATGATCCGAGACCTTCTCTTTGCCGACGACGCTGCCCTTGTTGCCCATACCGAAAGAGCCCTGCAGCGCCTCACGTCCTGTTTTGCAGAGGCTGTCCAGCTATTCGGACTTGAGATCAGCTTGAAAAGACGGAAGTCCTCCATCAGCCCGCACCTCGGGTAGAGTACCGCCCTCCTCACATTACCATCGGCGAGACTGAGCTGAAAAGCGTTCACCAGTTCACCTACCTGGGGTGTGTTATCACATCAGATAGGAAGTTCGACAGGGAGGTCGACAACAGACTGGCCAAGGCAAGCAGCGCTTTTGGCAGACTGTATAACAGATTGTGGAACAACAATTCTTTGAAGAAGGGCACCAAGATCAGCGTGTACAGAGCCGTCGTACTCACCACCTTCTTGTACGGCTCCGAGTCGTGGGTAATCTACCGTCACCACCTACGCCTCCTTGAGCGTTTCCATCACCGCTGTCTCTGCACCATCCTCAACATTCACTGGAGTGACTACGTCACCAATGTTGAGGTCTTCAAACAGGCGGAGATCACCAGCATCGAGGCCATGCTAATGAAGTCGCAGCTACGTTGGGCAGGGCACGTTTCCAGAATGGATGATCAATTCCTGCCCAAAATTGCCTTGTATGGCGAACTTTCCACTGGCCACCGTGACAGAGGGGCCCCGAAGAAACGCTACAAAGACTCTCTGAAGAAGTCCCTGCTGCTGACCGTGATGCCTGGCGTCGTACTGTCCACCAGGCTGTCTCCTCCTTTGAGGACTCTCGTACAGAGAACCTGAGGAAGAACCGGGAAGCTTCAGCAGCCGTACCTGACGTGACCTTTGACTGTAGCCGCTGCGGCCGAACCTGTTTGTCTCGCATCGGACTTGTCAGCCACGAGCGTGCCTGTAGTCGACGTGGACAGCCCCCTTCATAAAATCTTCGTTTGCGAAGCCAAGCCAAGAGAAGAGAGACAAACAACTTATTCACAATATAAACAAACGATCAACTAAAAACATTACACTTCACACTAAATCACTAGGTTAGCACTATTTTCCACCCAGCAAACCGCCCTTTACTTTGAAATATAATATTTTACACAATATAATATTTTGCACAATCTAATATTTTACACAATATAATATTTTACACAATCGTCGAAAAACGACATATTTTACAGCCTGGATTATAAGTTTATAACTTAAGGTGGTTGCATGACAATTTATACTGCAATATTTATCTGT